GGATTAATAAAGGAATTAATAAAGAGACTAAGTCGAAGGAAAATAAATGAGTGAATGAATGGATGGATGGATGGATGGATGGATGGATGGATGGATGGATGGATGGATGGATGGATGGATGGATGGACGGACGGATGGATGGATGCATGGATGGATGGATGGATGGATGGATGGAAAAAATATCTTCATGGAAAATGATCTAATGATTTTGCCCAAAAATAAAATTGTGGCTGTCACACTTTAACCTTAGCGTCCCACCAGTGTTGATATACAGCCATATCGCACTGCTACGGGTTTCATATTGCATTTATACAACAGTTCAACGGCACAATCGTGTATATAAATAAGATAATCAAACATGGAGAGTCTAAAAAGCCTTTTTTATTAGGAACTACTTTCTTACGCCATTCATCACATGTGCAGCTGACGTCAAAACAGCAGAAGCCATTACTAATTCACCAACGTCACTTTAGGGCCAGTGTTTGAATGACTCTCTATAGCGTAATGTCTAAAGTGATGACAAAACAGCTGATTTTGTTCACACTTTATGACTATAAGGCTGAACGTGATATGAAATGCCATCCAACTACAAAGATATCTTCTTACAGTGTTACAGTCTACAGTATTTCTCTGTTGCAATCGGGATATCACAATAATTAACCCTTGAAAAAAGCCACTGTCATACAATGTGGCTGTTACCACAAATATACATACAGCATACATTAATACTGCTTTTGTGATCCTGATTTTCAGAAGAGTCTATAGTCCCCATCCCCCATTTATGTGTCTAGAAATATTGGTGCCAATCTTGCAATGAACTAAAAGCAGTAATAGCTGTAGGTTCTGAAGCTGAAAGAGTATAATGATTTGTCTAAAAATATTTAAACATGTATTTTTAATAATCATTTTGTGTCTACACACAATGTTTTAGCATTCGGAAGAGATATAAGGGATACTCAACAGTTTGCCGTACTTTCACTCATACACTCATACACTCTCTTTCATACACATACACCTAGGCCAATTTACTGTAGCTTACCCAATTCACCTACGGCACATGTTTTTACTTGTGAGGGAAACCTGAGCATGCGGAGGAAATCCATGCGAACATGCGATGAACATGCAAATGATGAAATGATGAAATGCAAACTGAACCAGCCGAGGCTCAAACCAGCAACCTTCTTGCTGTAAGGTGATCGTTCTACCCACTGCGCTACCATGATGCCCCATTAGGAAGTACATTGTATTTCTATTTTGATGTAATTTCATACTTTTGTAGTTAAGGTCACCTAATATAAAGTCTGCAGTGGTCATTTATTATAAAGTGGGACCAAATGTTTAAACATATCAGGTCTAATGAGAGAACATGTTTATATATATATATATATATATATATATATATATATATATATATATATATATATATATATATATATATATATATATGCAACAATACAGTTAGCCCACTGTTCAATACACCTCGTTTTTTAACACAGTTTTCAGTTTGGTTCGGTTCTCATGGCTTGACACATGTTTTTTTTTTTATTATTCTATAGGCAATGGGAAAAGTAAGAGGTTAAGGAGAAAAAAAAAAAAAAATTATTGCAATTCGTATTCAGTTTTACTTAAATACCAAGAAAATTACACTAGTTCCTAGTGTTTTGTATTAAAAAAAATAATACTGAAATCTCACAGCTGCTGGTAGCCCATGCATGTACAAATTGGGGAACACATAAAATCCTACATTTTGAAAAAAAACATACATGTGAAGTTAATAAAGATAAATTGGCCATTTTAAATAAACATATTTGTACTTAAGTAAACATAAATAAAAAAATCTCAATTATCTCGGTGCCGAAAAAATGCGAGACTTTAGTCCAGGGCTATTCAATTGGCGGCCCACGGGCCGAACCCAGCCCCCAAGGCAATTTGTTCTGGCCCTCCAAATAGTGTGACCAAGACATAAAAATTAATTTAGCTCAGTCGAAAAACGGCCGCTATAGCTATGAAGTGTTGTGCATCTGTTCAATTCAGTATGAACTGCAGAGGCTGCGCAGAGCATGAGTCACCAAAAGCGAGTGGTGCAGAAAGCCAAAAACACTTAGATATGTTTTGTAGAAAATTCCTTTAGTACAATGCACTGTAATCATTAATATGGATGCTACAATTAGCTGATTTTACTATTAACTGCGCTTTAATTTGTCACAGTTAATTAATTGTAAAGGCTTCTCTAAGCCACATTTCTGTTGCACGGAAAAGTTATGACAAGTTGTGTACTGTGCACTAGTTTAAAGTTCCAAGTATGTACACCGAGGCTAATACGCACGCACAGCAGATTAACTATAGAAGCTGCCGTTTCCATATCACGTATTTTCCGTTTGCAAGGTTGGTATTTCTAATGTAAGAATGACAATATGCACAAACAAGCGGAGCAACGCGCTTGCCTCTGTCCAGGCGCACGCAGTTGAAAACATCTCACATTGAGAGTTGTGCGTGCCTTTCAGTGCAATGTCAAGCACCCCCTATTTTTAGAGCATAGTGATTGGATATTTACTCGGGGTAAATATTTATATATAGAGAGCTCTATACATCAAACAAACTACTACTCAAACCATAGGACCCTACACAGTATTATTATATTTATATTTTATTATTATTATTTATACACAGTATTAATATGTGTTTTGGTCAAAAACCCAGAGACACATTTCTGTTTACACATTGTTTCTTAATTGTTATAATTAATGTTGTTAACTGTTTATCATTTAAACATTCTTCTCTACAATTGAACAAAAAAAAGATATTTTAAAAAATGCTGGAAACTGGCAGCCATTGACTTCCACTGTATTTTTCCCCTGCCATGGATGTACTTTACCACCAACATTGTTCAAAATATATTCTTTTTTTGAAAAAGAAAGTAGATTAATGAACAGCTTCATAACAAAGAAAAATAACTTAGAAAGCTTTCAAATAATTTTATGGTTATTAAATCGTCTGTATGTAAATGATGGGTAAATTAACTATAAATTGAATCTGTGTTGTGCACTTTTTACCCCTTTCTTTATGGATGGAGTATACATGGCAGGTTTATTCTATGTGCACTTTCTAATATTTTAATCTAATATTGTAAAATAGGCTTACACAATTTACACATGAATTCATTTCAGATCTGATCACAACAAGACTATACTCTGGGGTTGTGTTTCAATTAACATAGCGACATATCGTTTTAATTATGTTTGATTGTCTATCAAAGGAGGAAGCCCACGCCAACACCGGGAGATCATGCAAACATGTCTATTAAAGGTTAATTCATCTTAAAGGTTAAATGTCAGGGTCAATGGGATACTTTCTGAGGTCAGACATAGTAATACAGGAGTGCCACACGCATGTGTTTCATCACCTGCTTTTTGCTTTGTACACAAATGCAGGAGCACACATTTTAATAATGTTCTGATGATATCCAGCAAGTCTTTGACATGGACCTATCCTACCACAGTGAAATCGATAATTTCATTCAGTGATGTGATAGAAACTCTTTTTTGTTAAATAAAAAAAAGGCACACGAAATGGTCCTTGACCCAACATAGGCCTGTGATCATTAAAACTGTAAGTTGATACAGCAAGTTACATCCTACAGATACCTGAGGCTCTTTATGGATAGTGTTTTTTGTTGGAGAACACACATTGAGAGCTTGTTCGCACAACTACCACATAGGCTTTTTGTTTTCAAGAAGGCTGAGACTGTATGGGGTGGATGGCAATATCTTGCTTGTTTTTTACTGAGCTATGTTTGAAAGTCTTATTCGCTATGGAATCACAGTCTGATTTGGAAATCTGTCTGTTCAATAACAAATAAACTGGTTCATATTCAAAAAACAGCCATGAAAAATCATAGGAATAAAAAAATGAGCCCATACAGACTCTCTATGAACAGGCATGAGAAGAGCAATAAATAGTAGGGCTGATTCCAAACATCCTCTTTTCAGTGAATATCAGCTATTACCATCAGGAAAAAGAATGCAAGTGTGTAAAACCAATACATTGAAGCTTTCGTTCGTTCCTACTGTACCTCGGTAAAACTGTTGAACTCTTCTAAGAACACTGCAGCTGTAGTACATTAGCACCTGACTTTTTTTTTGCCTTTTTGCCCAAGACAAATTTCCCCTTGAAGACAAATATATTTTATCCTATCCTTTTGTTTGTGCATATCGAAATATTATGCATGTAAAAAAAAACTATATTTTCAAGAAGAATATACTGGCTTACAATCTTTAAGTCAAAATAATCTGTGTTGTTGCCATAGAGAAACTGAAAATGTTACAGAGGATACATTTAGGTTTGCACATGCCATCATTGTTACTGGCAATTTTTGACATTCAGGGGTAATAAATGTGGTTATAACAAAAGTAAGCAATTTTAAGCATTAATATAAGCATTTTTAAAGTTGTTCAATAGTGTCTTTTAAATGAATTTTAAATCATCTAACAATTTGCTTAAATTATTAACACAGCAAGCCCATCAGTGAATGTAGTGCCTTGTTGCCATTTCCATTTAAATGAACAATGTTTTCTATTGTGTACAAAAAGGTTGTTTGCTGCTTAATAAATTTTAAAAATCTATATTACTCTAAATCCACTATGGCATCACATGTATAATACAGCAGAGAGGCAGCTTTAGGCTAGAGAAAATATAGCTGAGGGCCATTTACACCTCTGGATAGGGATCAGGTGGAGTTCATGCACAAAGGAGTAAGATGTCAACATGCATTACTCATACTAAAAAGTATTTTACCTCATTTAACAATAAATATCGTGGGTTTTGCAGATTATTTAAGCACATGATGTTATATTTAACTTAATAATTTTGCTTTGTGTTGTTGACAGAGCTCAGCTGTTTTGCTGTGTTCTGGAGGTTGCTGTCTGTGTGTTTGATGTTCTTGTCTATAGCAATCAAGCCTTTAAAAGAAGGTGAATCTGATGTATGTTTTGTGTTTTCAGGGATGGACAGATGTCTATCTGAGCTGGAACCCGGATAACTATCCTGGTGTCCAGACCCTCCGGTTCCCATCCAATCAGATTTGGACACCAGATATTCTGCTGTACAACAGGTAACAAAGACAGAATGGCATGCACTTTTTCTATATCACAAAGAAATATGATATATTACAATACAGTATACAGTATAAAAATTCCATACTCTACCGATCAAAAGTTTAGGGTCAGTTTTTTTTTTTTTTTTTTTTTTAAAGAAAATTATTAAGGTGGCGTTTATTAAATGTAGAAAAAAAGTTAAATTGTTAAATATTTATTAGATAATAATAATAACTGCTCTCCTGTTGTATGTAGTTTTAAATGAAATTATTACTCCAGTGATTATTGCTTTTATTACTAATAGCATTAACAACAACAACAACAATAATAATAATAATAATAATAATAATAATAATAATAATAATAATAATAATAATAATAATAATAATAATTATTATTATTATTATTATTATTATTAATAATAATAATAATAATAATAATAATAATAATAATAATAATAATAATAATAATGATTTCTAAATGATCATGTGACTCTGAAGACTGGAGTAATAAAAGTGAAAATTCATCATTGAGATCACTGGAATAAATAATTAAATTAAATTATAAACTACAGTTATTTTATATTGGAATAACATTTCACAGTTTGTACTGTATTTTGGATTAAATAAATATAACCTTGTTGAGCAGGATAAGCTTTTTTTAAAACCATTTAAAAATCCTGCTGACCCCAAACTATTGACCGGTTGTGTATATACAGTATGTGTTGACATTGTGTGTTGACATGCTATAATATATTATAATATTATATAATATAATAATAAAAATATATACACAACAATATAATATTAATGCAGTCTTTTTGGCCAAAAATGCATTGTATGAGTCAACATTATTGATTTTTCTTTTTTTAGTTTTAGGTTTTTTTTTTTTTTTTAATTTTAATGATTTTGCAGAAGACCATTAGAATATTTAGTAAGTTTTTTGTACATTTTCCACTGTAAATATATTAAAAGAAATTTAGCTTAATTATATGCAATTGCATTTTTTTTACTTTTTTTGTTATTCGTTTTTTTTGAAACATCAGATCCAAGATATTTAAACAGTTGAATCTGAGCCAAATATTGCCCAATACTAACATACCATACAATAATGAAAAATGGAAAACTTATAATGCATAAATCTCAATTTAAAAAAAAAGACATTTCTTTTTTGTTGTCCAGGAACACACATTTGAACTAAAACAAATATGTTTTTTTTTTATAAAAATATTTTATGAGTTTTAACGTGTACATATACTCTCAGAAAAGGGTTGGTGCACTTTTGTGCTTTATCAAAATATATGGACCCTCAAAAAAATAGTTCAGCCAAAGATGAAAATTCTGTAATTTAGTCCCCCACCCCCCCC